ACATGTTTGTATTAAAGTAAAAATGGATGATAAATACGCCTTTCGTGTGGAATTAAATACCAAGCACTTTAAGTGTCTTGTTCATCAAATTTATTTTTATATAAAGGCAACAGAACTGAAATCATATCATGTTAATCAGCAGCACAGCACATGAGTGTGAATTACGCGATATCTGCCTTTGATCTCTTTTTTTTATTATTATTATTATTATTATTATGCCATACATCAGAACAATACAACGAGAATTGGCTTGAGATGCGCCTAGCCTCGCCTGAAATGAAGGCGAGAGTCTCTCCAAGTCGGACAAAATGACTAACCGATCGATCTGCGCAGTGCTGCATGAAGTCGAACACACCGGTGGAGCTGCTCTACAGCTGAATCACATCAACACTGAACTGACCGAAGCTGAGTAATGACATTGCTGGCTTTTGTTGAACTGCTTATAGCTGAACTGAATTTGCTTCAACGTTTGACGAAATTCATTCAAATGTTATTGATTTGAACTGAACCAACACTAAACTGACCCGATCTGAACAATGACACTGTTGTCTTGTAGAGATGCGTTATGGCAGAATCTGAATTGTCTCCATAGCGGAGTTTCCATTACTGCTTCTGCAGTGTATCCTGTTTATCACCGTGAAGCTGCTATGCCACAATCTGTATTGTAAAAAGCACGATACAAATAGAGGTGACTTGACTTGACTTCCTAAGGAATGAAAAAGTCATTTGTTTCTACAGCCATGCAACATTAACATATTTGATGAACCTATGTGAATATTATTCTTATAATTCACCTGAACGTTTTTAGTACACTGTAAGAATAAAACAAAAACCCATAGAAAAATGGATAATTGGAAAAGACAGCTAAACTGCACTGTTTTAATATTTGTCATGTTCTACTGGAATGTTCTGTAAATAAACTTTGATATTAGTGGTCAAAATATTGATACAAACCATGCAATATGAAATCTACATAGAATTGTCCTGCTGTGAAATGATTTTCAATTTATAGAAAATACTTAAAACAAACATCCAGCTCTATTTTAATCACCTTTCTGAGTAAGCAAAACAGAGAATGATAATTAAGGGTCTGTTCACCCAGAAGACGTTGTGTTCCACTGCTCTGCTTTTCCTTAGTTTTTCCGCAATATTACACACGCGCTATATACTGTGTCTTATCTGTTATAATGACAATTATTGTCATTGTAATAGAATACAATCTAACTGCCCTTTTCTCACTACAAATGACATATTTTCCTATCCACATGTAAATGATACAATTTTTTTTAATGATGACAACAAAAGCTAGATTTTCTTTTATTCTGACACATGAAATGCAAAGGGTGGTTCAATGTTGGGTAGCACCTTGATCACAGCAAGGGGGTTCCTGGGTCTAGTCCCGGCTGAGTTTGCATGTTCTCTCCGTGTCTACGTGGCTTTACTCAGGGTGCTCATGGTTTCCCCCACAGTCCAAACTGTCCATCAGTACAGAGTGTCCCCCGCTTTTGGCCTGAGACGCTGGGATAGGCTCCAAACCCCCCTCCCCCAAATCCCAAATAGTGTTTGAAACATTGTTGAATACTTTTTTTTTTTTATGTTTTTTATATAATTAGTTAATTAGTTCAATTTTTTTTGTTTGTGAAAAGTGCACATGCAAAGAGCATGAATAAACAGCAGAGGGCACCATCTAATCTATAAACGTGTCTATAAACGGCTTAGAAGAGAGGGGCGGGGTCAGCAGAGCTCATTAACATTTAAAGGAAAATGCTACAAAACGGCTTGCTCTGAAAAGAGCTGTTTTTGACATGGTAAAAAAGGCGCTTTTTACACTACCATTGAGAAATTTTAACCAAACTATGTTACAGACTTTTCATTAAGACCCTAAAGAACCACATTTCCACATTTCAGCTTGTGGAAAATGGGCATCTGATGACCCCTTTAAAGGTCCCCTGAAATGCTTGAAACACGCAGCTTTACTCTTATGTGTTGACGTCATTTTAACTGAAACAGGAAGACAGGGCGGGACATATCAAGCAGCCCCGCCCCTTTTTAAAATAGCCAATAGCGTTCGTTTATATCACACCTTGGGCTAGAGTTGTTCAGAGCCATTGAGCTCCGTAAAGCCGCATTTGACAGGGTATGCCAACCACAATCTCATCCATATTACTATAAAATATAGCATTCTGTGTAGAATTAAAATAGCTCCGATACATTTTGTGGTCTGCGCCGACTCGCGCATGTGATCCGCTCCGTGCTATCGTTTCTCTGGACCGGAGCAGAGTGTGTGTGCGGTGCGGTGGTTGGCGTGACACTGCGCGAAACCAGACTTATTTTTTTTCCTCAATGGAAAGCATAATTACACTGTTTGAATCGTTCCCTGTCCCCTATATAGTGCACTACGTGCCATTCACTGTACAGAAAATACTAATTCTGTGGACAAGTGACCGATTTCAGCCGCAGCTTCAGCGTCTATTTTATAGTGTAGGGGGCGGGCACTTCGAATTCTTGAGAGCATTTGATTGGACAAAGTTTGATGAGAAGCTGAAGTACGAAGTGACGTCAAAAAAATCGTTGAGCCGTTTTGGCGGAAGTGACGAACTGAAAGCTTTGAATACTTATATCTTCTAAATCACTGTTTTGGAGCACACTGCCTTATAGATAACCTTAAGACTAACATATTGATACTAACACCCAAAAAACTTTAATTTTGATTATATGGGGACTTTAAGTTTATGTGTTTCAAATTCATGGCCTGCATAAATACCAGACTTTATGGTTATTCACTCCCCCCACTGACAATTCCTGCCGGACCTGAGACTCGAACCCACAACCTTTCGGTTACAAGCCCGACTCACTTACCAATAAGGCCTAAATTACCCTAGAATCTACCCTCCCTTCACTCTCAGAAAAACGGTCCAAAAGCTGTCACTGGGACAACACCTTTTCAAAAGGTACACCTTTGCACCTAAATGGTAAAATTCCATTTTACATAATTTTACACAAAACTGACCATACTGTATATCCATATTCTGGTTTATAAGATTATATACTATCAAACACCTTGTCACCCTGACACTTAAAACCCTTGAATGAGTTGAATGACTCTAGGAGGCCTTGCAGAATATTACTTTCATGGTGTGTGAAATTTCATTTATTTTGCATTAAGCTGTTTTATGTCATCTAAATTCTATATTAAACATGACTTAACTGCTGTAAACAGTATGATACTGGCAGCAAACAACCTTCTCAGTGAACAGTGTGAAGGTACATTTTATTTCACAAAACAAAACCCTTGTGAAAGATAAGGAAACATGCAGAATGGCTCATAATTTAAAAGAAAGTTGCACTATGAACTGTAACAAGTCGATAAATGGATTTCAGTTTCCATTTCACAAGTTTATCAGACAATCTTTCTACTGAACAAAACTGTTTTTAGAAATTCTTTCCCTTTTGACATATCAAATTTAGGAATTTTCCATTTAACAAAAAGTAACTAAATTATTGTAGCCTAAAAGGTGATCAGGGCCTTATTCAAACAGCTGCAATGAAGGCTCACTGGATGTATATGAATAACAAAAGGGAGCATATCATTGATTTGACTGAGCTTCATGAGACCTCAGGACATCTACAGACGTTTGATTTAGGCCTTTTCACACAAAACAGAAACAACATAAATACCTTGAGTAACACACGTCTTAGCAGCTCCATTAGGAAACTCTGAACATCTCACCACAGTAGGATTTTCATAGAGGTATACTTGTTTGAAGAAGTTGAATATTGCATGGTTTCATTGTCTGGCATTACGAAGAATAAATTATAAACAAAGAGATACAACACACAACCAACTCTCATTGGTTTCTATAGTAACTTTCAATATATTGCTTTCAAATAAGCAATATCTAAAAACTAAAACACTGTGTAGTCAAAATACAGCATATTATGGAGGATTTCACATTTTGGGTCCACTAAACAAATAAAAAAATACTTAGGTTTTTCCCCCTTTAGTGCACTATACATCATTTCCAATATATTATGAGAATTTCTTTCGTGTAGGAACTGAGGTTATAATGAAGGTGTGATATTGATTAGGACGATTTCTTCATTTCATAATTACTGACCCCAGTCTCATTGCAGTACTCATATTCTATCCAATATTATGCTCAGCTAAAGGCATTCATTTACAAGCACCTCTGATTAACAAATGCATATCATAAATAGTAGGGATGTAACGATTAACCACGAGCTGGTTGAAAATCGATTTAAATATGTGACAATTCAAATTGGTTGAGATGCTAAACAAATCGCGATTCAATTAGGGGTTTTCTTTAGAAAAGTTCAGATGGTATTTTTTCTTTTCCTCTTGCCTCTGTATAACGCTTATTAAATTACATAAGTGCAGCGCTGCTTTGCTTACAGCGGAAACCAGGAAACGCTTTAAGCGCCACCTGCTGGCAGAGAGTGAATCTGCGTCTCATTCAGCTCGTCTGCTGTTTCGGTTTCATGCAGATATTTTTATGTATAGTTTCACAAAACTGAAGTCAACCCATTCTGTTTTTGCTTCAAATTTCGAAATTATACAATTTAATTTAGATTAAAAACTGCTCATGTTGCATGTATGCAGCATCTTTGTTTGGATCATGATTAAAATGCAGTGTTAGCCTCTAATTTTAAATGGAAAGAGCGCAGACAAAGCCTTATTTTGTTTATATGAAGAGATTTCTTTATTTGTGTTGCTTATTTATTTGATTTGGGGCTTGTTTTAAAATTTCAATTTAGTTTTGTTATTTACATTTACATTAAATTTTGTTATTTAGAAGACAATTTTATCCAAAGCGACTTACAAATGAGAACAATAGAAGCAATCAAAACCAACAAAAGAGCAATGATATGCAAGTGCTGTATTAGTATATTATTATAGTGTTATATTTCAATTTCACAAAGAAATGTGCAGCATTTTGTCAAAGCAATAATAAATCAAATTTTGTTAAAAAAAGTTGTGAATCGAATCGTGACTTGAGTGAATCGTTACATCCCTAATAAATAGTAAACGTTAGTAAATAGTAAAAACAATACACACAAAAAAACTGGTTAAGATCTCTGATTCTCTCTTAATGCTAGATTAATACTGAAGTGACAGGAACTAAGCATGGTGGAGAAATAAACAAGATGTCTTCGTTATTACACATAACCATCCAAATCCGCCTAAGAAGTGAAAATATATAATTTAATATGACAGCTTAGTTTGACTACCAATTGTTTGCTTCACCATCTAAACATTCATGTCAAGATATACGAACTTGCCCGCAAAAGCATTTCCTGTTTTGAAATTGTGCCGATATATTTGTCAAGTCCAGAACTTTAGGAGGGTTTCTATGCAACCCCCTAAAATGGAAAAATTACGAGATAGGAGGAAAAATGTAATTTCAGTGATTTTGTGTGCTAAATTTCACAATACTGTTGCATTATCACAAAAACAATGCATTCTCTCCCTCAAGTTTTGCGATCCCCTGAGAAACTTTGTGTTTGCTTGCAAAAGTAGCCTATTGCATTTCCCCAGTGATACTTTGCATTTGCTCTCAAAAGCAGTGAACTAAAAGGTTCCCTCCCACCTCATATTTTAATATCACCTTATATTTCTAAATGTGAAAAATCCAAACAATAGAATAATGGACACAAAATCCTGTTTCTTGTGATCCTGAAATACTAGGAATTTTTTTGCAAGATACCTGGGATGCAACTGATCGATCCAGGCGGTTTTTACATTAAGTGATGAAAAAAACTTGGCAAAAGCACCAAAATGTTGCACAGAGATGCTTTTAAATCTTATTCAATACAGCCACATTGCATCTAGAGCTATAGGACAGAGGGTCCACAGCACCTGATGTCATGCCAATACAGTGCCACAGATCAAACTAAGTTGTGAGCACTTCGAATGAATACATAAATATGGACCACCTGCATCTCAGGTATGAATAAAAAGTATCGCTATTTGACTAAACCTCAACATCATTGCAACCCAACTGTTTGGCAGCAATGGCTGGTGCAACCGACTTAACATTTTCATTGCTACAGTGATGGCTTGACCTGTTGTGTAATCACAGTTTCTGCAGATTAAATGGGTTACGGAAGGTTGCATGGGTTTAGCCAATTATCTTCTTTGTCTAGGCAAGTGTCTTGGTATTGCTGGCAGTTTTGTAACAGATTCACACTGACGAAGTGACCTGATTTTCAATGGGAGTTGGCGATTCAGGGCAACATGAGTGAGAGAGTGTTGCGACAAATTCGTATTTTGCAACTATATGTAATTGAGTGGAGATACAATGCACCGCCTACCAATAGAGAAATGCAGTAATGACGTATTTGTGTAGGCCAGCCCGGAAGTTAGCATCACCCTGGTTCCCTTGAGAACAGCCCGACAGGATTTTTCCATTGGGTTTTGGATTACTGCAAGAAGCTCTGTGACCAACAAAAGTTTATAATTGTAAAACGTTTTGTTCATCACGATACTATTTACAAATGAACACAACTTTTATGAATTTTAAAGTCTAAATGCAATCGCAAGACAAAAAGTGAAACGGGCTATAAACGATTTACACCGCGGTCGCATGACTTCAACGTCAACATCACGAAGCTTCCGACAACTCTTTCAGTCTTTATTTAAAAAACATTCTCCCTGAAAGTTTGGGTAAGAATAATTTTCGAGAAAGTGATTATAAACATAAAGAAGCTGTAAAAGCCGACTAGTGAGTACATGAGTTTTCCTTTTCGGCGTGATGACGTGTAATATTCTTGACATTAATATTAATATTATATCAATATTCGTCCCATTTAGCCACCGCCTTTTTCCAAGACAAAAACTTCTTTTTTTTATCATAAGGGGGTATTTACTGATGTATTTTATGTTATAAAATAAAATAAAAGGTGAAAATATCTTGAGCTTGTGTTTGCCACATATATTATGTCGGGCATTTAACCAAAATCCCATTGATTTGGGACGATGGAACCGGAAGTGTTTAAATGCTAACTCCAAGTTTCCAGGCCTACATAATGCATAATCCCTGCAGCACTCTATAGGACTTCCTGAAGCAGAAATCCTAACAACAACCAACAATCCACTTGTTGACCCTAAATAGTTTAATTGCTGTCAGTGTGAATGTGCCTTTAGGAATGAGTTATTGCAGTTTTAATATACTAAAAACTAAAGCATTTCTATCAGAGGCCCCTTGAATTATGGGAAGGAATTGTCTGTGCTGGTTATTGAGGCTGTATTTTCAGTTATCTTACACATGAATGCAAAAAATCATGCAAAATACCTTAGTTATGACTGACTGGTCATTACTGTTGGATTATAATCAGCAAGTCTGTAAACCTACTGTATTGCTTGTACCAGTTTTTCACAATTGCATGAGCCAGTTGAAGAGTCTGTGTGCTGAGGTCTGAGAGAATACCGTAGCGGTTAGCCCCTAAAGCATGGCGATGCTTTCTGGTGTACAATTGAGGTGTGTGGAAGTGCTGCTGCCTCCGGGTGACTTGAGACTGCGGGCACCACATCCCATTGCAACACCCTTCCCAATACCCCCCATGATGACCGCTGACCCTGGATGATGATGTTGACTGCGTTTCATTAAGGCCGCCATGATGGTATCGCTGTTGACAGTGCCGAACTCATAGGTGAAGGTGCCGTAGTACACCAGGACCAAGACGGTGAAGACCCATTCACAGATGGCTGCGGCGTGCTGCAATACAAAACTCTCATGGACGAAGAAGATACCACCTTGAATAGGAAGGGTGATGTTAAGGAATGGGCACACTGCATTTCAGCATTAAAATGTTTTTTGCCAAATCGATAATTATTAAAAAATAAATAAATAAAAATTCCCCCAAAAAATCATGGATTGGCCATTAGTACTATAAACACATGATGTCTGTTTCATACCAGAGGGCGCCCTCGCACAGAAAATCCACATATCCAGACAGAGAATGACCTTCCAGGAAATCGCTTATATGGACAAAGGCATACTATTATAGCTGCAACTGAGTAAACAGAACATATAAAACGTTTTGAATGATAAAACAAAGACAATAAACACTTGACTGCGACAATATAGTTTAGCGGTGTTATTCAAGCCATCTCTGGTATTTCATAACAATTAAGTATATTTATAATCCATTGCTAATCAATGTATTATTTTTAAAGTAGCCTATGGAACATATTTTCTGCCTCATTCTGTGACAAGAAGCCACATCAGATCACAAAAGGAAGCATTTGACTGGTGTTGTGGAGTAAAAAGGTTATAATGTTCTCTTTTGCTGGACAACAGGTTTAGAAATGTGAATACAAGGGAAGTTTAGCTTTAGGCATTTTAATTCAAGCATGTTTAGCTTAGTTAACGGAAAGCTACCTGCTGCCATCAGAGCAAGTGTAATTACTGCATTCATGCGCTCCTCGGATGCTCTCATTTCCCGAGTTGTGTTTTCAAGTCGGAACTCGGAATGTGAAAACAATATGGACACTCGCGTTACTACAAAGATTTGTTGGATTTGTATTATTAGAGCTTTCCGACTTGAGTTCACGTACGTTTTCTCAGTCGGGAAATTATTTTTTACGTGCGGTGCCGGTGATGATGCTTCTTACATCTGTTTCGGAGAACCAGATGACAAATATTTCAATCGATCGCTCCGGCATGGCACTGAAATGAGGCACCGAAATCTGCATTCTAATTCGGTTCTAGTACACAGGCCTGGGCGATAAAACGGTATCGATATTTATCGACGGTACACCTTCTTCAATATCGATAGAAAAAATGTTCGATATAGGCACGTGCTATGAGTGACGCAGACAGCACACACGAACACAAGCTGTAATGAGTGCTGTGCCTGCCTGTGATGAGGAGATTGTGAATAAAGAATGAATATTAGTCGATTTTCAAATAAACATTTGCATTTGAATGTTAGGTGTGCATCAGGGCGCGCGAGATGCGGTGATGATGTAAGTGACGTTGTTGCATTTGAATGTTTTGTTAGTCTAGCCCACTAGACACGCCGCTGCTGCGTTATTCATTCAAACTATTAGAGAAATATAGAAGGTCAGTGCGGAGATGTGGCCTCGGGAGACAAGACAAAAGTTTCCTTAAAACCTATTTAGTCTGCATATAAAACATTAGAAATGAAATATTTGTTTAATTTTTATTTTGTGTTTGATTGTTAAAACCAAAAATATTTGTTTGTCTCAAATTGTGTTAATTTAAAAATACAGTGGTTAAATTTAAACATTTTTTCTATTGCTTTTTGTTTTAAAAAAGGTTATAAAAAATGTCAAAAATTATCGATACCGAACGATTTGAAACATTATATCATTGATAAATTTTTTTAGCTATATCGCCCAGCCCTACTAGTACATAACGGTTACATAGGTACCGGTGCTATATTGGTACCGGATTTCGGTACCCAACCGTAGATGTACTGTAACTTTTCTTTCTTTTTACTGTAATTGATCTTTTTGCACTGTTACTAGGCTTTTCACTCCATGCTCAAATGTAGCCATCTAAATTTGATTTTCATGTATCAGATCATGTCTGATTTCCAGTGTCAGGTCAAACACAAAATGTAGAACCATTCATGAGCTCTTGGTAAGGATACTGAGGACAAGCGATACCAGAGCTCCAGCTGAGAGCGCCACACGCACATGAGCCATCCAGTAGTCCAGTGCTGTCTCTGCTATACGGTACGTCAGAACACACTGCAGACACACAAACAGCAAGCCGGCAGGGAAAGCTACACCCGCTCCCACATAATGAAGCGTCTTGGCATGATCGACCTAAAGGAAAAAAAAAAGAAAAAAAAAAGGAATACAACTTAATTTAGAGTTATATAATGGGCTGAAGTTACAAGTCTATTTTTGCCTGCTCACCTGAAAGTTGCCAACCATGACCAAACCAAGGGCATTAATGCAGCCGGAGACCAAAGAACTTGTGTTGGTCCAGCAATGATGGCTGTGTTCAATCACTTGAGCATAACGCAGCATGCACACCATAACCACTGCAGGAGCATCACACACACACACACAAAATTACCGGCATACTCTGGGATAGATAGAAGGCACTGGGTCAGCTGGCCAATCAGAGCAGACTGCGCTTGTTGGAAGGAGGGATTTTGTAGAAAACAAAGCGTTTGAGAGAGGCGGGCATATAGGACCTACAATAATGTACAGTATTTGAAAAATAATGTGTTTTTTGAACATTAAAGCATGTCAACATATTCAGTTACACCAAATACACAAAATAATGATCTTTAAAAAAGCATCATATGACCCCTTTAATATTGACATAAATCACATACCTTTAAATGGCAGATTAGGTAATCAACTTCTTTGTGGAGTTCATTTTGTATTTTAGCTTGTTTGGTTATTTATTACATTTCAAACTGTAATTCTTACCCATAAAGGCCCCAACATTGCCAATCAAACTGAAGAGACAGCTCTCTGGTGGATAGCAACCACATTTACTGTTGAAAGAGCAGAAAATCAGATATTGGGCAACCTTTTCACAAGAAGTTGGTGTACAACAGTAATACTAAAAGGAGACATCTTCAAAATGTGGTCATTTTGTGGCATTCCAGATAAATTCAAAGTCATTTTCACCTGATGAGGGGGATGTCTTGAAGAGTACAGCAGGTCTTTGGGAAGCCCCTCTTAGCCGTTTCCGCTGTACATGTCAAATTGTATGACCTATGATACAAAGAATCAAGCATGAAATAAGAGGTTTTTTTGGATTTGGGATTTAACACCGTAAAGCATGAATTATAAAATAATAGGGGGTTTTTTGTACGTTTTTGTTTTTTTAACTTGTGCATGTGCTGATATTTACATGGCCAAAAGGTTAATTCTGATAGCTTGTAAATGTATATCAATGATATTGTTACAACATTAAATAAAATGCATATAAATATCAGTTGTCACCCTGTAGCTCCATGTGATACGTCTTAGTAAGATGATATTAAATACTTACGTTTATGATCAAAGCCCTGTTGTTTTTATTGTGGGGGTAAAGCTTATAATGCAATGCAACACAATGATGACTGAGAGATGGACAAATCCTCAACAGCCTAAAGTATAATACTTAATACTCACATTTGAACATGATTTATCTAAAAATAATGTATGGATAATCAAGCAAACCTAAGTTGCTTCAATCCAATAAGTGTTAATCCTGAAACATTACTAACAAACTAAAAGTCATTTTTTTGTTTACTTTATAAAAATCTGCAAATATTTCACAGTAAAAAGGCACAGGTACCACAACCTGAAAGGGCAACGTATTTAGAATTACACTAAAAGGCCATTTACTTGTTAAAAAGGGTACAAACTATCAGTCCGACGACAAGTAGTGGATTGTGTACTACAGATTTTTCAGCAAAGTTTTTATCACATTGATAATTAAAAGGCCATAGAATTTGTGTATCAGATATGATATAGTAGGCTTTAAAGGGTTAACTCACCAGTTCTCAACAGGACAGACATGGTGGTTCATTACTGCCATGGCGTAACTACAGAACAAAATATGTTATGGTTATTTGTTAAGTACATGACTTGTCTGTATATAGTTAAACAAAAACAGTAGAGGGCTACACTAAATTTTATGTAAAACTTCTGGCTTGAATATAAACACTCACACAATCCATATCCCCGTGATGGAGAAAGCAGACAGGCTGACAGGCAGAACAATCCAGGCAGTCATTGGTCAGTCTGTGAGAGGCCTGAGACCCCAGCATGAGGGTGTGCAGGACTGGGGCTATGGAGACACGGTGTGAGACACCAGCAAGCGAAGCCATGCAGTGGGGGGGGTATGTGGACCAGTGGGGGAAACGTGATGCTCCTTCGACTACATCTGGAGACTCGCCGATTACCAACAACCAACAATATCTAGCGGAAATACAGAGACACTGTTCATAGACGTTTACTAGATACGAAGACACAAAGATGCAATATTACTGAAATACGGTTAGGGACAAACCGGCGACGGTGATGACACTCAACATATCATATTTTGTATGGCTATTTAATCTTGAAAATATGTAATTCAGAATATTTCTTTCAAGTAGTATGCTTACCCTCACGTAACAAAAATATATGGGAATATACCGCAAAATATAATGCGAATTATGACATAATACATTTCCATATATGGGAAACTAGTGCTTATATATTTTTTATATACAGCAATATATGCTTTGGCAATGTATGTCTAAATAAAGATACATACAAATATATTTAGAAATGAAGACAAGAATACATCTAATATTCATAAAATTTGATCCTTTATTGAGTATATATTGCACATACATGTTCCCATATAAATGTGAAAGTATGTACACACATACATTCACGGATTGAGTTACAGAAGATTTCTAGTTCCCAGCATGCTTTGCTTCTGACTGTTAAAGGGATAGTTCGCCCAGAAATAAAAATTCTGTCATTAATTACTCACCCTCATGTCGTTCCAACCCCGTAAGACCTCCGTTTATCTTCGGAACACAAATTAAGATATTTTTGATGGAATCTGAGAGCTCTCTGACCCTCCCATAAACAGCAAGGGTACTACTACAACGATCAACGTCCAGAAACCTAGCGTCACCCTAGCGCCATTTTGGAGAGTATCCTCTGAACGCAAACAGCGAATGTTGTTCTGTGTCAGCTGCACCACACGGATACGTTTTCTACATTGTTTGTGCTTTGATTTGAACGAAAACAACGTATCCGCGTGACGCAGCTGACACAGAACAACATATGCTGTTTGCGTTCAGTGGATACTCTCCAAAATGGTGCTAGACAAATTGTTGAATAAAGTCATTATTTTTTTTCTTTTGCGCACAAAAAGTATTCTCGTAGCTTCGAAATATTACGGTTGAACCCCTGATGTCACATGGATTATTTTACCGATCTCCTTACTATGTTTCTGGATATTGATCGTGGTAGTACCCTTGCAGTCTATGGGAGGGTCAGACAGCTCTCAGATTCCATCAAAAATATCTTAATTTGTGTTCCGAAGATGAACGAAGGTCTTACGAGTTTGGAACGACATGAGGGTGAGTAATTAATGACAATCATTTTTGGGTGAACTAACCCTTTAAAGGAGAGTAAAAATGTTCAAATTAAGTGTTTTTGCTCAATATCATTATATTATATTATATTATTTTGGAATGTAAAAGGGTTTCTGGCGTGTGTAAGTTTGTGGGGTTACCGTTGTGCTGAAGAGTAGAGCCTGTGGTTAGGATGACGATTGGCCAAACACCATTAAGACTACATCTTACTTTATTTAAAAAGTAATGGCTGTGCACTCTTCAAGACAGTGATAGTCTGTTCACTAAGAACTTTAGTATGAGCAGGTGTGCTTATGCTATTGTAAACTAACTATATTTTAAAATATGAAACACATATAATGTAAATGATCAATAAACATAAATATATATATCCATATGCGTGTATATGCAACTAAATGTTTAATATATTGGTTAGGGATGCACCGATATGAACATTTTGGCCGATACCGATAACCGATTATTCTTTATTTTTGAAAGCCGATAACCGATATGTTGGCCGATAAATCTATATCCAAATTGTTATATACTTTTTGAGAGCCTGATTACAAAAAAGGTCTCATCATTAAAAGCCACATCCCAAACACTTCAACATAAGCAGCCTAGTTTGAACGGTGTACGTTTTAAAAATATTTTTACTCTCCCATTACCAAATTTAGTCATAAAAAAGTCTTACAAATAAATAAAATAATGCATAAATAATGCAAACAAGTCACTGGACATCATTACACGTGTAAAGAATCAAAATGAATGCGCCACAGATCAATAAAACGGAATAGCCTCTGCACGGACAATAATTAAATTAGGGATGCACGATATATCGGCCACCATATCGCAAAGTTACTTATAGTTAGTAGAATGTCTAAAGTGGACTATCGAAATAAAGTGTAACCAATATATTTATACACATGTAGTACCATATCTTATCACATGTACATCTATATATTATAAAATGAATTACTGAATAAATTACATACATTGTGATATATATATATATATATATATATATATATATATATATATATATATACTTTTTCAATATATGAAACCGGCAATTACTTATGTATTAATTATTCAATATATTGTAATATTACTTTGTATATTTTCTAATATACTATTAAATCACTTAATATATTGGTCATTCATATATTAGGAAATATATTTTCTTTGCGTAAGGGGAAGGCTGTCATCAAAGAAATATTTCAGTAAAAAGGACTTAACTCATTTCAAGTACAATGTAAATCCCACATAAACCTTTGCATAAACGTGTACAGTATAAAGGCACAACTTACTCAGTGATATTAACACATATTAAAGCTATATAATGCAATCAAATGACACTAACATTGTGGGATGAGCTCTTTTTTTAAGTAACACTGACTTCATTGAATTCAACATTGTGATCCAGTCTTTTTCAATGTGAATACGTTTTAAAAAGGGTTTTGGTACGTCTACCAATAGATGTCAGGTAGATTTGTAATCGGTTAATCTGAGGGATGAAAGATCCCAAGAAGCACTAAATCAGATCAACCTGGAGCCGCACGTCCTAATGATAATGTCCCCTTCAGCACAGATCAGCCTCAATGTCACATCAGCAAACACAGTACGACAAAACACTAAATAGTAATGAAAGGTTTTATGACAGTAAATAATCATGAAAGGTATTATTGTTATTTTTAAAGATGAAACTCAATATCATGTAGCTGGCAAGCTATCCAGCAAATGCTATTGCAAGTAAACAACTTATTTAAGACGGCAAAAATCTCCATATCTACGTATTTATCTACCTACATACGTGTTTCTACAGCGTTTGAACTACCGTGCATTAGCGTGTCATTGTTGAAATATTGTGTTTTGATATATAAAAGCGTGATCCTACCGCAGGCCCCGCGGCTCCTGAGCAGATGCTGCTTCTGCTGCATCTCAAGCTGATGTAGAGACCGTTTTCATCAACAGAGGGCGCCCTTTTCTCCCTTTGCGTCTGCATGGGTTAAATGTATCATTGTGTATTTAGTTCTTAGCTATACTTCACAAAACAATGTCCTTTTGGTCATAGTTTTTTTCCCAATTCAATTCAAATTAATTAATTAATTAAACTAGAATTCAAAGTGATTCAGATTAATTGAGCAACCAAAGCGACTTACAAATGAGGTCAATAAAAGCAGTCAAAACTAACAAAAGATCAACAATATATAAGTGCAAATGACAAGTCTCGGTTAGCCTAACGCAGCAAGGTGTGTATATATATATATATATACACACATATATACACATACATATATACACACATACCACACTACCGGTCAAAAGTTTGGGATCAGAACGATTTTTTATGTTGTTTACAGGAGTTTGATATACATTAAAATCTCATTTATTCCTGTGATGCAAAGCTGAATTTCCAGCATCATTACTCCAGTCTAAAGTGTCACATGATCTTCAGAAATCATTCTAATATACTGATTAATTATCAGTGCTGGAAACTGTTGTGCTTAATATTTTTTTGGAACCCGTGAGCTAAAAAGAAGAGCATTTATTTAAAATATTTTTTTTTCTAACAATATACACTACAGTTCAAAAGTTTGGGGTCAGTGCATTTTTATTCTTTCTTTTTTTAGATTAAAACTTTTATTCAGCAAGGATGTGTTAAATTGTTAAGAAGTGATAGCAAAGATTTATATTGTTAGAAAAGATGTATATTTTGAATAAATGCTGTTCTTTTTCACTTTTTATTCATCAAAGAATCCTGAAAAAGTATTGCCATTTCCAAAAAAATATTTGGCAGCACAACTGTTGCCAACATTGATAATTCTAATAATAAATCAGCATATTAGAATGATTTCTGAAGGATCATGTGACACTTTATACTGGAGTAATGGCTGATGGAGATTCAGCTTTGCATCACAGAAATAAATTATATTTTAAAGGATATTAAAATAGAGACCATTATTTTATATTGTAATAGCATTTTGCAAGATTACTGTTTTTTTCTGTATTTTTGATCAAATAAATGCAGCCTTGATGAGCACAAGAGACTTCTTTAAAAAACATTACAAGTCTAACTGATCCCAAACTTTTAAACGGCAATATACATAAGCGTTATTATAGTATATATAGTCTATATATACACTACTATACTTATACTACATCTTTATCCTAGTCGTTGTATATTGTTATAGCCTACTGGATGATACACTGTTCTGTCTCATCTTTCACATCAACCTATGGTTAAAAATACGTACGGTGGATGTTATTCATTTCTTCGCTGAGTCTGTGTCTGACACTACACAATATAGGCCCTAAAATAAACTGTTTCTCGTGTATTAAAGAAGTTGCATTATATCTGATCGGCTTGTAGATGCAATAAACTACATACCCCATAAGGCCACATTCAAACCGGAAGTAAACTGTCAACCGACAAAAGTCACTCAAGCTTGTGCTGGGTTGTTTTGCTAAAGCACTATCCTTGCTAGCAGCCTCGGTCAACCAGAAATTAATTTGCGCATTTTTCGAGTGCTATCATTTTCAATGACCTCGTATCCTATGTGACATAGGTTATAAATCGTTGGAAGTCAGACTGAGATATCTTGTCAATTTCCCAGCATGACTTCTCGTCGGCCTGACAGCTTTGAGGGTTTGGGTTACAGGGGCCGAGAGGATCCGTCATTCAGCGGGGGCTATTCGGGCAGGTCATTCAATAATTCATCCGGCACTGACCTCCAGCACTGGGTCACCACGCCTCCAGATATACCTGGCAGCAGAAACCTGCATTGTGGAGATCGCACACCCCAGTTTGAGAAGGCGCCTGCCCCACCTGGAGCAGCAGACGAAGCCCAATCAGCGGCTCCACCGTCCGGTAACACTGAGTACAGTTTATGATCAGTATGCTTGAAGTGGGATGTTATTACGGAAAGGAATATTATTCGAATAACCACAAGCAGTAGTATCGCACGACGATCATTCGTGTCATGAGCTTTATATTAGACAAGACCCGCCCCTGCAGCTGCAGTCATGCTTTTAGTAAATATGTGGTAAATGAGTGAGGCTCTTCCGCCCATCTCCAGCTAGTGATATTCGATTCGATAAAGAATCACTCTTTTAAATCAGTTTAATGATTCAGTTGAACCGATTCGTTTCGGTTTCACCTGGAACAGCTAGTAAGTTTGTAAATATGAAAACAATTAAGGTTTCAAAGACAAGTAGCATGGCATCCAACTAAAACACCAAAGCATTACCAAGCCTTTCTGTATAAAGTTTGGTATTACTTTGGGATTTTATATTTATTAGGCCTGTATTTGATATGGGTATTATTATTATTTGGTTTGGGACTTGGGTATTACACAGATGGATGTATATATTCTAATCAGAACTGTCATAACAGCAGTATTCCACCCAACGGAGATGGACAGTATTTTAATTACATGCATGCAGAGGCGGACAAAGTACTCAACTCCATTACTTGAGTGAAAGTACAGATACTGCTGGTCAAATATTACTCCATTACAAGTAAAAGTTGTAAAGACCGATTTTTACTCAAGCGACAGTACAGAAGTAACAGCTTTTAAAAGTACTTAAGTACCAAAAGTAAATTTCCTTTCTTATGTCAATGCACTGTTTTATTGTTGTACTTCTGAAGCAACTTAGAATACATTACACCTGCTGAGTACAGTACAGTGAAATCCTGTAAATACAGAGTGATAAGGAAGATTTAAAAAAATCAAACCTGCTTTAAAACCCAGCAACACAACTGTAGCTGTATAACTTTACAACAGCAACACTGCTTTAACAAAAAAAAGCAAAACGACAAGACTTATTTGACATCAAAACAAACATTTTAAAAATGCTGTCTAATCGCTCTCACTGTACTTCGATGTCTGTGCAGTGCTGCTTCAAGTCCAACACCTATTGCGTTTTATTAGGAGATGCACAACAGTTCTTCTGTGGCTTTATATGTAATATTTTCACGTACACAAATTTAGTAAAATCAGACAATATTGTGTGTAATGTATTCCACAATATTAACTTTGTATTATTGAATTGTTGCATTTGCAACTGGTCAGTGTTCAAAAAATGCTGGGAAATCACTTCATGTAGCCCTACAAGAGTGATTACTGATAAACTGTCTGAAAAAAAAGAAAGTCACGTTTTAGAGAAGAAAAAAATCACCCACTGACTTTCAAAGCTGCTGCATAGTAACGACTTTCTACTTCGAGGACCTTGAAAGAAATGTAGTGGAGTGAAAAGTACAATATTTGTCTTTCAAATGTAGTGACGTTAAAGTCATAAGTTCCCAGAAAAAATAATACTCAAGTACACTTTTTGAGTATCGGTACTTTACTTAAGTACAATACTCAAGTAAATGTACTTAGTTACTGTCCGCCTCTGCATGTATGTAAAATACATATTTAATTACTTTTGAGTATTTTGTCATTTGTATTTTGCTGGACAAAAACATATCAAATGTAATTTGTAGTTAAATTACTTTTGAGTATTTTCTATTTTAAATACTTAAAATACTAATAGGTACGTCACTTTGTAGGCCAATCGGCTGTTAGCATCACACTGGTTCCCTTGACAAAAAGCCAATAGGAATTTTCCATTGGCTTTTGGATTATTGTAAAAAAAAAAATAAGCTCTGTGTTTAACCATAGTTTATGATGCTTATACTTTTTGTCCATCAAGATAATCTTCACAAAATAATATACTGAATTTTGAAGCCTAAAAACCAGCGCCAGAACTAAAAAGCTAAACTTAGGCTATAAACGAACTACACCACGCTCGCTCGCCTTCAACGTCACCACCACCATGCTCCCGACAACTTTTTCAAACTTATTTTTTAGAAACATGTTCAGTGAAAAGGATTTACTCTGTGGATGAATTTTAATCCATGTTACATGAACCTTTTCATATAAAAACAATAACTAGAGCCAAACTAAAACTGAAATGAAACATTAATAATAAATAGCAAGTAGTGAATAAATGAATTAATCATAACTAAAGCACATATGAAAGCACGTATTTCTGTACATTTCAAAATAAGGTGCATTAAAAGTCAATAAATCCTTGAATAATATGAATATTTTAATTAAAAAACGTGTCTCCTCCACATAGCATTCAATAATATTCGAGTGCATTTAATCTATTAAATGACAGCAGATTGAGCAAGTTTTTGGATATTGGTAAGATTACCATTTCAGCTATCATTTTGTTAGGGTGGTTGGTTACACAAAATGTTATTGTATCCTTGCTTCTAGAAAATCTTCAATCTTTCTACTTTCTAACAGCTTCATGTGGCCGGAAACTTTTAATTTTAACGTGGCTTTAAGCACTATGCATAATTAAAGTTTCACTTTCACTGTGACCACGTAAAGCTGGTTATTGTGGTGTTTACATGGAATAATCGTAATATGAGTTTACCTTGTGGTGCGAACCCAGAGTCTCCGCATCAGTAGGAAACAAGAGATAAAACAAGCATCTTCCATCCGAAGACTTGTGGTTGCATTTCGGGGCAAAGCAAAAAACATTGTTGAACAACAATATAAAATGTGGTAAACTATTAATTGGTTATTCTACAATTAATTTAAAAGAGAGCCTGTAGACTAAATTTTATGCGAAGGACTCCAAGAAAATCCAAGGGAAACTATCATAACAGTGTAATTTTAATGAACCTCATCTGTCGACATGATGTCGGTGAATCACATTGGTCGTCACTAGGCATGTGACGGTATCAAATTTTCTTGTTGTGATTAATTGCTAATGCTTTTATCACGGTATACGGTATTATCACGATATTGAAATTTAGTTGCAAAAAAGTGTTTTCATAATAAAGTATAACAGTTTTAATAACTTTTTTCTTATAACAAAAAGTAACTGCAATACACACAAAAAATGTATGAAGTAAATTATTTCACGCAGATTAAAGTGCAAAAGAATTATAAAGACCAATAGGTAACACCTT